AAAATCCTTGCCCTTATTGAATTTGCATTTTAGGGATGAAGACAGCTTCAGTGTCAAAACAAGTAAATAAAATGTACAGTGTTATGTATATTGGAATTTTAACTGATTTCAAGGCCATGTTTTTGGTTATTGTTTTCCCCCAAACACCTGAGAATATAATAAAGGTATAAAGAAGGTGCTAGGGTAAATTTGGAGAGGCTGAACCTGAGAATTCGGAAGCTTCATAGCATTAAAGTAAGAGAAGATGAGAGATAGAAACAACAGGAGGGGAAGCTGGAAGGAATGGCTCAGTGGTAGAGTGGTAGAGCGCTTGCCTTGCATGCTTGAGGCCCTGGGTTCGATTCCTCAGCACCACATAAACAGAAAAGGCCGGAAGTGGCACTGCAGCTCAAGTGGTCTAGCCTTGAACTGAAGAGCTGAGGGACAGTGCCCAGGCTGAGTTCAGGTCCCACAATAGACAAAAGAAGAAGAAGAAGAAAGAAAGAAGAAGAAGAAGGAGAAGAAGGAGAAGGAGGAGAAGGAGGAGGAGAAGAAGGAAGAAAGAGGAAGAGGAGGAGGAGGAGGAGGAGGAGGAGGAGAAGGAGGAGGAGGAGGAGGAGGAGGAGAAGGAGGAGGCTGAGAGATGGGAGAGAAGGCTGAGAGATGGGAGAGAAGGAAAGGTGTGAAATCGGGGCTTACTAGCCTTAGAGAGCATTTTAATGATTTGAATTTTTAGTCTAAGTAAAGGGAAGCCATTGATAATTTAGCTTGCTTTTTTCTTTCTTTCCTTCTTTCTTCCTTTACTTTCTCTCCCCTCCCTCCCTCCCTCCCTCTCTCCCTCCCTCTCTCCCTCCTTCCTTCCTTCCTTCCTTCCTTCCTTCCTTCCTTCCTTCCTTCCTTCCTTCCTTCCTTCCTTCCTTCCGTCCTTCCTTCCTTTCTCTTTCTGACTGGAGTTTGAACTGAGGGCTTTGTGCTTGCTAGGTAGGTGGTCCACCACTTGAGCCATACCTCCAGCTCTCATATAGCTTTTTGTTTGTTTTTTATTTGGTACTGGGAATCAAACCCAGGACATTGCCTTTGCTAGGCAAGTGCTTTGCCTAGCAAAGCTACATCCAGCCCCCATATAGCTTTTTAACTAGATCATTTTGATATATGTCTTGAGGACAGAGTGAAGAGAACAAATGATGGAAGCAATTTCTGTAGGTTATTTATTATAAAAATTCAGGGGAGATGGTCTTGACTTGGACCAGATGGTGGCGATAGACAATCATAGTACTTTTGGAAGGTATAGCAGATCAGATGTGGCATGTAAAAGAAGAACGAGTTCAGTCTGAGCAGACAGTTTGAAAGATATCAGATGGCTAAACATGTGACCTGTGCCACTGCAGGGATCATGAAGGTAGACACTTGTCCAGTTTGGCAGTTAGAGTAAAGATCTGGGCTAGAGAACTTGGGAAAGGTCAGCACATGGGAAAATTTAAAATTAGAGCTCTGGAAGACATCATCTAGAGACTGTAGATAAGCAAGAACAGTTCCAAGGTCTGAGCTGGGGGGAGAGAGGGGCACTCCCATGTTAGGGTCAGGGAGGATGTGGTCTAGCAAGCAATGTAAAGAATTGGGTGAGATGTCCTAGGAGAAATGTTTCAGGCAGGTAGATGTGGAGAGGGACAGTCAGAATGTGAGGTGCTTCTTATGAAGGTGAGGAAGTGAATGATATTGGCCCCATAGATGGGCCCTTTCCCCCATTCTCCTTGATGTTCTTCTTGATGACTCTTTGGAGCTCCCACCTCAAGGGATGACACTGACCAAAGAAGCTTGGAGGAATCCTGTGAGCAGTCATTAGGCTGCTTACAAATGCTTTTTTTTTTTTTTTAAATCACTTTTAGATGTGGCCATGTGATTTGACTTAACCAATGAAATGTAAGCCAAGTAATAGTTGTCCATGCCCTAGCCAATGAAATGTAAGCTGAGTAATACTTACCACTTTAAGGGCCAGTAAGCAATCTGTCCCATGTTCTGGGCTGCGAGCAGTTGTGGAAGCATGAGAAGAAGCCTCTGTCACTCAGACAAGACTCCTGGCTGACTCTGATCAACACCAGTATGAGCAATAACTTTAACTTTGTTAGTTTTATCTTGCCATAGCAAGACCCAGCCTGTCCTGACACAGAGCCTAAGGACAAATAAATAATAGTGTTCCAAGCTCCATTTATGACCAGTAGATGACAAATTTCAGGATATGAAAGCTTGACTTTCTTATATGAAGGATAAAAAACTAAACAAATAGTACAGATAGTAACAGTTTACCTCTCTGTCAGAAATAATTAAACCTTTAAAGTATTAACATAGGTTTTAAAATATTTCCCTCCTAATCAGTAGGGGAATTTTTGTTTGGGGAGGAGGGAGCAGAGAGTTGTTTTTTTGGAGATAGCATCTTGCTATGTAACTCAGGCTGGCCTTGAACTCATGATTCTTCTGCCTCCAGTTCTCAAGTTCTGGGATTACAAGTGTGCACCTCCACACTTATTGAACTTCTCACCTGTCTCAAAACATTTTTCTTCTGTGCAATAGTTAGTGGAACTACTCTGCTTTCTTCTTAAAGTCACCACTCTCTTGTCCTTGGCTGGTTTTCTGATCCTAAATAATAAACCACAATAAGCAAACAAAAAGACTGCTAAGAACATGGTTTGGAAGTCTTCTGGGTGGGTGTTGGTGGCTCATGCCTATAATCCTAGCTACTCAGGAGGCTAAGATCTGAGGATGATGATTTGAAACCAGCCTGGGCAAAAAAGTCCATGAGACTCATCTCCAGTTACACACACACACAAACACAGACAGAGGCAGAAGTAAAGCTGTGATTCAAATGGTAGAGTGCTAGCCTTGAGTAAAAAAACTAAAGGATAGCAACCTGAGTTCAAGCCCCAGGACCAGCAGATTCCCTCCTAATGCCTCCTAGTTAACTGCTATGCCTCTTGAATCCACAGAGGTTCCATGATTTCCATGTATGGTGTGCTGCAAAATGTGTTTGGTCTTTGTCCCAAGTTTCTGCTCAGATCTCCTAAAACTAAAACAGGAGTGTTGTCATCATGAGTCCCTATGATCACACCAAAGTTTATGCTACTGAGGTGGCCCACTTAGAGGCCCTAGATAAACTCAGGATGTGATTGGTCATCAGAAGACCAAGTGCTCAGCTCTCTAACCCACCAAACTCTGGGAAGGTGAGGGTGGCGATCTGAAAACAGCTCTTGAACATGATTGTTCACAGGTTGATGAGTCTTTGAGGTGCTGGGTGGGTAGGGTGCTCTGAGCGCATAAAAGTTTCCACAGGGCTCCATGCATCTTTTCCTTTGGCTGAATTCTGTCCTCCATGATAACCCAGCAGGTGTAAGTAAAAGTATTTTCCTGAGTTCTGCAAGCCCTTCACAGCAAATTATTGTAACCAATTTGGATAGAGGTGAGGGTAACCTATGGAAGCAAGATTTGTGACTGAAGTTAAGGTGGGGGTGGCTAGTGTGACCGAGCTTGTAAACCTGTTGTGTCTAATGCTAACTCTGAGTAGCAGAGTTGAATTGTAGATACCCAGGTGGTGTCCAGAGAATCAGAGATTGGTTATTGGTGTTGGAAAAATGTTACTTATATAACATTGAAGTTTGTTTTCAATACAATGTGTGAGCCTGGGAACCAGTAGCTCCTATAATCCTTGCTATTACAGGAGGCTAAGATCTGAGGATTGAGGGTTGAAGCCAGTCCAAACAGGAAACTTTCTGAGATTCTTCTCTCCAATTAACTACACAAAAACTGGAAGTAGAGTTGTAGCTCAAGTAGCAGAGCTTTAGCCTTGAGTAAAAAAGCTAAGAGACCATGCCCAAATGCTTGACTTCAAACCCAGTACTGGTACAAAAGACAAACATAATATGTGAGTTACATGTGTTTCAGTTTTAGTGTATACACACACACACACACACACACACACACAGAGGTACATGTTTGTACTAGCAAGAAACAAGGAAGTCACAATTTGCATAAAAGAATTTTATTTAGTGGCCAGATCCCAATGAATAACGCTAGTCATTGTTTGATTCAGCTAAACTGTGCTATTAGAGACATTCATAAGAAAGTGTACAAGTGCATCACCAAAAGCTGTTTAATTGGGATTGTATAGAGGAAAATAAAACTTCATAAATCTTTGTCTGATAAAATCTTTAAAAGTTAAAAATGGAAAAAGAAACAGAAAAAACAGTATTCAAAACTAATAAATGCCACCTTGGTCTATTTACAGAGAGATGTTAAACAGGAGAATACTCCGCTGGATTTTGAACCTCCCATTTTATACCATTTAGGGAGTCTCATTCCTTCCTCCACTCAATGATTTCTTCCTCCTGTTCCACAGGACCAGCCATCTCTGTTCTCTGATGCATATCTTTGAGTCTCTGGCATTCCCTTTCCTCACTCATAAACGATCAGGAATTCTACTCAACACTTTCATTGAGCACCTAATATGTACCAGTACCAGGCACGGCTAGGAGGTGGAGATAAATATGTGAAAAAATAAACACATTTCCTTTGGAAGCTCAAACTTTGGGTTGAATTAATTTTTTTCACATTATAGTCAACTATTATCTCATGCCCCTAAGGAATAAAATTTGAGGATTTCTTGAGATGGTACACTTAGGGGAAGGGGTGGGGGATCTTGTTCACTGGGCCTACTGGATGCAGGTGGCCTTGGAATGCTTTGCTTTGTGACACACAGCCTCAAAGCCCCACACCTGCAGCTTCATTTCTGAACTCCACACACATGAGAGCCACATGTTGGGTTGTAGGGGACCAGTTATGTAAATGTGGCTTGGAGGAGACGAATCTTTCATTGGTTTCTATAGATTCCAAACTTGAGCAATACATGCATATTTTAAAAGTCTCCCCTGATCAGACATGTGGCAAGATGCTTGTTAACTAAGTACTCAGCCAGAACAGCTACAAGTGCAAATTTCTTTCTATGTCTCTGTGCTTCTCTTTTGTTTTAAAAA